CCTATCAGATAAAATTTATCTTCAATTATAATTTCCACTAATTCCACAGGTAGAGTTGTTCTTTATTCATACTTTGTTGTGGAAAATGTGATCTGTGATAAAATGTTACCCTTTTAATTTTATTTTTATGTTTCACAGGTATGTTTCTAGCTAAGGTGATTGAAAAATACTTTGTGTCCCCCACTTTGTTCAGAGTCGTACGACTTGCCAGGATCGGTCGAATCCTGCGTCTCATTAAAGGCGCTAAGGGAATCCGCACTCTGCTTTTTGCTTTGATGATGTCTCTTCCTGCTTTGTTCAACATTGGCCTGCTGCTGTTCCTGGTCATGTTTATCTATGCGATATTTGGCATGTCCAACTTTGCCTATGTTAAGAGGGAAGCTGGTATAGATGACATGTTCAACTTTGAAACATTTGGCAACAGCATGATCTGCTTATTTCAAATTACCACATCTGCTGGCTGGGACGGTTTGCTAGCCCCAATTCTTAACAGTGGGGAGCCAGACTGTGACCCTAACAAAACTCATCCGGGGAGCTCTGTGAAAGGTGACTGTGGCAACCCTTCTGTTGGGATTTTCTTCTTTGTCAGCTACATTATCATATCATTTCTGGTAGTGGTGAACATGTACATTGCTGTGATTTTGGAGAATTTTGGTGTGGCTACTGAAGAAAGTGCTGAGCCCTTGAGCGAGGATGATTTTGAGATGTTCTATGAGGTTTGGGAAAAATATGATCCTGATGCAACACAATTCATAGAATATAGCAAATTGTCTGATTTTGCAGCTTCTCTGGATCCTCCTCTTAATATGCCAAAACCAAACACAATTCAACTTATTGCAATGGATCTGCCCATGGTAAGCGGTGACAGAATTCACTGCCTTGACATCTTGTTTGCTTTCACAAAGCGTGTTTTGGGGGAAAGTGATGAGATGGATGCCCTCAGAGTACAGATGGAAGATCGGTTTATGGCGGCCAATCCTTCTAAAGTCTCCTATGAACCAATTACAACCACATTAAAACGAAAACAAGAGGAAGTGTCTGCTACTATCATTCAGCGTGCTTATAGACGTTATCTTTTAAGACAGTCAGTAAAGAAACTTTCATTTATGTATCGGAAAGATGGGGTTGATCTGCTTATCAAAAAAGATATGATTATTGGTAAGCTAAGTGAAAACTCACCTCCAGAGAAAACAGATATGTCTGCATCCACCACATCTCCACCTTCTTATGATAGTGTAACAAAACCAGAAAAAGAAAAATACGAAGATGACAAATCAGAAAAAGAAGATAAGGGGAAAGACAGGAAAGGAAATAAAAAGTAAAAGACAAACAAGTTGTCCATGATAAATGTTCACAAGCCTGAGAAGATGACATTTTTATCAATAGCACTCTTATTGGAGGATTATGCCAAAGTTACAAGTTTTTACATATCTACCCACCGCTACAGTCAGTGCCTGTACCAAGACAATGACCCTTCACTAGCAAACTCTCAGTCTGAACAAGGGAAACAACCTTGCAAAAGAACAGTTTTTATTATCAGCTGGCACCTGATGGACAGGAGACACAAAATTTCTACTTGGACTGTAGGAACCCTTAATGGAGTGCAAAATAACCAGTCCTAATAAGTCTGTATTTTTGTGGAATAAGTGTATCCACTGTGTACATTTCATCTATGTATGTTCTGTGTGTGTCATTTTTTTTGTGATCTCATTTGCATTAATTGACATACTGCTATTTGTAATTCTGCTGTGCTGAGGAAAAAGCCTAAATACTCTTGCAGAGGAATACATAATTATGGTATCATAATGTGAACATAGTTCTCTACAAGCCACTTCTAAAAACAGAAGACCAAGATTCCGGATTATTGAACCTCAAGATCTAGATCAAATGAACAGCAAATGATAAAAAAGAATAGAGTATAGATATAGAATTTATCAGAAAACAAAGCTCGGGAATAATTTTCACAAAAAAGAGGTTGGTAGTTTAGTCTCTTGGTTTTAATATATTCATGTTTAATATTTTTTTAGTAATTCCTAATTTATTATACGGTCCATTTCAGATACAGTGATTTAAATAAATGATTCTACACACATACTCCTGTTTCAAAAAGTGTGAAACTATGAAAAAAAAAAAAAACAAAACAAAAAACCCAAAAAACATAGTTAGTTTCAGAGTCCAAGATATCTCATCATTCCTGAGAGATCTAAACAGTTCTTTTCACAGAAAAGCTACAAATGCCAAATTGTGCCTACAGGGAATTACTGAAATAAAAAAAGTGGTAGTCTTTTTTTTTCTTTTTTTTTTTAACTGTAGACCCTATAATTTTATGAGTAGCTTCCATACTTAATTCCAAAGTCTGTTTCTGCACTTCTTATTTCACATGAATATATCCCACTTAAGGACAACAATCAAAGCTACATGTATAAATTGATAACAAAGTAACTTTTGGGACAAATACTACCTTAATGTATACCTCAGGCTTAAATTGCCATACTTTGGAAGGATGGGTCATGCCAGAGTCACAAAATACATACATCAGAGTTGTTTTTTACCCCCTATAGCACTTTAGTCAAGTTTCCACTGTATGTAATGCAATCTTCCGTAGAAAGCTGAGATGACCAAAAGGATGTACTTAAATCAGCTTTGTCCTGTGTTGTGGTTTAGATGACTTTTTTATCATCAAGGCTGACACTTTATATGTAAGTAAAATATCCTCTATTATTTAATCAATTGTTTTATGCAATGGTATCTGTTTGAACAAAGAGGCAATGACTTAAGTACTGTATTTATTGCATCACATATGTACCCTAGTAAGTCTAGCTTATAACATTTCAATAGATTATATGATATATTCTGTAATGCTCCAATTAATTGGGAAGCTTTAACTGATGCATGCTTGCTGCTATTATCCTACAGCTATTAAAGTCTAAGATGAGAAGACATGTGAGTGGTAAAAAGAAAAAAACTGTTCAACGAGACCATCATTCCTTATACCAGTAAGCAATAGTTTGCTGCTTCTATAGATTTTATTTTGTTTGAGTTTTGTAATCAGCAAATATGCAGTAAATATCCAGACTCTACAGGACAAATATATTGCTTAAAATTTGGGGCTAGAAAAAACTATTGATCTATTCTTGTTATTTTGAAAATAGTTTTATTTTATAACATTTTATACTTATTATAAGAAACCACATATATCTTCATGTTGTTAGCAATTTTTATTGCTGTCTGTCTGTGACACTTTACTATTAGGAAACCTAAGATACCGTGTGAGTTGGTAATTGCAAGTTTCTGCTAATTATATTAAACATATTTTAATAAGGAATAATTTTAAAAGAAATGGACAGTATAGTTCTTTTTCTGATGAGTAGGTAGTCTTTGTATATGAAACAAGATCGGAGGGTTTCTTTTGAAATTATAATCCTGTCTGTCAATTTTCAGGGTAATCTTAGTCATAGAAACATTGCTTTTCCCTGGTATTATTCTGACACTCTGCTTTTCTTGTTGATTCATACTGCAGTAGAAGCGCTTTAAATATAATTTATTATTCAAAATCTTTCTTCATGAGAATGAATAGTGAACTTGTGCAATAGACAGTGGAATACCTTGCATTTCTTACAAAGGTAATAGAATATAGATGGGCTCCTGCTTTTATAGAAAGTATTGGCTCATAGTGTACTGATGAACTGCATGCAGGAAGTTGTTTTTCCAAAAATAACTACATTGCTAACAACCCAAAAGAATAAAGATAACCTTTTTATGTACTTGTTCTAGTCTTTGTGTTTTTATTGTATGAAGTTTATACAGATTAACAAGTAATGGTTGGTAAAATTAAGGGGAAGCCACTTTAGCAATGAGACAATGTGTTTTCGATATCTAGATCACGTGTTGCTTTCTGACTTAGATCAATATCAGCTTGTCACCATCTAGATGAAAGATGATTATGATGCCCTAATCAGAGATGTTTTTCTAGAATTTAGAAAAGAATCCCATTCCAATACGTGGGGTTTTGGTCACATTTTTATGTCTTGATCTGAAAAAGCTCCAGTGGTGTCCTCTGGTGGCAAAGTCCAATGGAGGATGTCTCCACATTCTTGCTGAGCAATGGATCCAGCAGACACTGCTCACCCTGGGGTGGCTGGTCTAGGATCTGTCACCAAAATATCCCCGCAGGGGGATAACAGTCACTTTAATCCCATTCCCCACCAAGAAATCCATGCTTGCCAGGAGAAGGGAAAAAGACATGTTAGAGGTGTTAATGGCCACCCCACAGCTGTCTTCAGGCAACTGATGTCTTTACAGAGCCTAACAGGTATGGTCCCTGGCAAGAGATTGCTACATACAAGTGGCAGGATATGGGGCAGGGTGTGTGCAGGCGGACATGTGCATGGAGTAATTAATGCATTTTTTTCCATTCTCATTTATGTTCTGAAGAGTAGCTGCTTATACTTGAACCAATATAGCTAACAGGAAAACAACTTCAGCTGTGCTTTGAAGGCAAATGTGGATGGTTTTAGTAACTATCTGATTTGAATTAAAACTTTTTTTTTTATGTAAATCCAGAACGGTTATTGTTTTAATATCTTAGTTCTAACAATAATTGCATAAAATAATGTAAATGCTTTAAAAAATCTTGGTCATACTCTTGAATTGCTGGTTAAAGAACAAAGTTGGTTTAAGTTAGTGCTGGACAGGCAGGTAGGTAACTTAAAAATTCTGTGTGGAATAATCATGAAATGTGTATGTAATAATTTTTCTATAAATTTGGTAGTGTGCAGAAGTATATGAGGCCATTTATAAAATCATTTAACCCTAGAAAAATTCTATCATTTTTAAAGTTTTGTTTATTGAAACCATAATCCAACTGAAGTCACTCTTCATTTTTATTGACTCAAATTCTAATTTTTGGTCCTTTACAAGAATATATTTGCAGATTTCAAGTGTATCTATTTAAATAAACTTGTATCCTTTTATATTTCTTTTAAATTATTCCAATATACCTGGAAGTTATTTGCCTTTATGGAAGACACAGCTGACTTGCAGTCTTCCTCCTTAACCTGCAAGTATAATATATATTCATGTGTTAATGTTGTTATAAGACAAATGTTTCAGTGTAATAGATCAGTCATCAGTATGCAAAGCATTAAGGAAAATTCCTAGAACAGGAGGACACTGCACTCTCTTACTGTCCTAGTTGACAGAGAATGAAAAATTAATAAGAGGCTCCCTTAAAATAGTCTCAGAAATAAGTTTCTTTACTCTCTCTTACCCGCACAGGAAAGTAAGCATATTTTATTTTATGAAGGTGCCATCAACCCCTCCACCCATGCCCACTTCCCCCAAACACTAAATTAGGACATAAAGGGGTAAAAGTTCTCATTTTTAAAATTCTTGGCCTTGCTCAAACTCCATAACACTGTTTCACTCCTAAAGACAAGACTTCTGCATCCAGCATACAAAATTACTTGTAAAAATATAAAAGGGAAAGATGGCAGGAGGAAGAGATAGGAGATTGCTTGTTTGCTTTTTTTTGTAGAGGCCTGAAATATATTCTGGTGAGTGGTTGTATTATTTTTAAGTAGAAATGTATGTTGCTGAGTACCAGAAATAAATCAGATTCAGTAAAAGAGCATCTCTCTAGCTGTTAGCAGCATGGGTTTATAACAAACCATGCAGGCTGCCTGCAGGCAGTAGAGGGCACAAACACCTGCCCAGTGATCCCGGTACCACGCTGGGTGTCTTCAGCCACCAAAGTCATCAAGAAATACAATTGAGTCACAGGTGCAAGGGATAGCTTACAGCTTTCCAGAGAATTTATAGATTTTATACTTGTTTTGTTCTAGTGAACTAAGGAAGCTACAACTTGTCACGTAAAGATAGCTTTATGGGTAAAAATTTTGTGACTGCACCAGCAGTTTTTGAATTTAGGTTGTGTACCCTACAGGACATGTGGCCCTGTATCCAGAACTGACACCACATTGGTTAAGAACTGCCATGCTTATCTGAGTTTACGAAAATATAGCTAAAGGGTGTTGATTCACTGGGGAATTTCACAGATAGATTTAGCTTCACTTTTGTTAATAAGCGTTACTCATTTAATCCCATGGTGCACCTATGAAACAGCCCCAACCTTCTAAAAGAATCCATATGAAAGTATCTGTCTCATTTTCATGGCAGTCATAAATAACTTGAAGTATTATTAAAAATGCAATGTTTTTTTTGTATGTAGAAAATACTTGTGGTACTTTTTCTATGGTATATATTCAGAAAGGTTTATCTAGTTTTACAATCCATTAGGAGAAATAATCTGAAAAATCTGCAATGTAGGAATATATTTAATGGCTCACCAACATCTGCATTAGCAACATCATTTTCAGTGGAGGATGGTTCCCATCTCTCATTCTCTGAGCAGAACGAGGTTGTGGCTCTGATACAGCATGCAGTCTGTTACTTAGCATATTTTATTTTTCCTTGCTGATCAGTGGGAGCTGTTGCACAGTGAAACAGACATATCATAGTGCTTGCCTAAAAAAAAAAAAAAAAAAAAAAACCAACAAACAATACTGCAGTGTAACCCAAGCAAAGTCAACTGCGGCACATTCTCATCCCTCTGGAGAGGGAAAATGGCATGCTGAAGCACACATGGTCTCTGCTGCAAGAAAAGCTTTTGATGAAAATAAAGAATGACACTTCGTAGACAATTTATAACAATCGAAACTAGCAGTGCTAGATATGCTCTGTGCTTGTATTTTCTGTTGTCTTAAAAGCATGCTACTTTAACAACAATCTTGATAATAATCTTTGTAGAATCTGACAGCTGATTAAAAAACCCCACAATATGTTTTTCAGAAAATGTATACTTGAAACAGAATGTAATAAGCTGTTTTCATTTTCAAAGTAATATCCATAGCATTCATGTTCAGAAATGGTTACAGAATTACATGCTGTATTGCTATTATGCGTTATTGCTTTATAAAAATGTCATGCTTGCAGATACCATAGCAACCACTGCCATGTGGTACTTTTTGATTGCCAGAGTATACAGTAGCTTTATGACCATATTCTGCATCAATACTTGCATTAATATCTGTATATAATGTAAAGTAAACGCTGCATCTGCATCCACCACATAAGGCAAACTGGTCTCTGCCAGCAATGATCATGTTCATGGTCTCAGGCAGGCAAAAAGTTAAAATGCTCTCTCCAGTAATAGAATCCCTGCAAGCTTTCTCCTGTCTTAACTTCTTGATAGCCATCAAATGTGATGTATAAAGGTTCATGCAGCATTGCTGCAATTGCTAGTATATTTATTTATATAGATGGAAAGCAGTTGCTCATGCTCTAACTGTATAGGATTGGAAATTGGATGTGATTTATGTGATGATGAATAGGTAGGCATTAAAAAAAAAAAAAAGGGAGGCTCCTGATATCCTCTCTCTGGAGCTGCATGTACATCCAAGAAAAACTATTTTGGGAGTGATGCTCAAGAGCACTGTGAACTCACCAGCTTTACTGCTCTTGCTTTGTCATTTATTTGAAAAGCATTTACTTGAAATATCATTTATCTGCTATGTTGCAACAATCTTTTAGAATTTTGTTAGTTTTGTATGAAAATTAACAAGGAAATGAGAATGTGTTGAAAGGATAGTAATCAATGGCAGATACGGAGAAAGCATAATCAAATGTTAACATGATTTTTCTACTTGTATTTTAGGATTAAAACCTTTATTTCACAATTGAAATCTACCCCATATAAACAGAGCTTCAAACACAGGAAATTTCAAAAGGTACATAGAAGAACTGATGACAGGAAAGGAAATTACAGTGCAGATATTACTGAAAGGTTATTAATATAAAATCTTTTGCAGAAGTTAATTGGAAGTTGATGCACTGAGAGACTAAGAGATTGTACCAAAGAACACGGCAGTGAGAAAAATCTACAGCAGAATATGATTAGAAATGGTTGTCTTAGCACAAGTAAATCTGTTTTGCTTCTGTGGTCAGAGAGAAAACTTCATACTAAAGCCTAGGACCAAAAAGTACATTACACCTCTGTTAATATCCAAAATGGATCTACATATATGTACCCTACTTATTCATGTCTATTATTATCTAAATGTCTTTAATCATTTTAGAGTGTAAAAATCTCCACAGTTTTCTTAAAAAGAGGAAAAGGTGTAATAGGAGGGCATGTAGGTTCAACTTTTTGATATTACTTGGTACCTACTCATACTCCAGCTTCTCTTTCCCTGTTCTACTATCAGTTCATTTCCATGATGTGAAGATTTCATATGACAATTCAGACTGAAGTTGTCTGAACGAGCTCCTTTTAAAAATTCACAATGAAGAAAAATAAAGTATTTCTTCTTCACTGAAGGACAAGGAAAGGTTGAGTTTATAGGCCTTCCTAGCCTTGTCAATAAGATACTGTCTAAAAAATTCTCTCTTATGCAATTTCTTAGATTTTAAAAATTTCAGGACTGTTAAGTGAAAGGAACTGAATCTGAAAGATTTCCTCAATATTTCCCCATATAGAGAATGGGGGGAAAAAAAAAAAAAACAAACAAACAAAAAAAACCAAAAACAAAAACAAAAAAAAAACCCACAAAAAAAACCAAAAACAAACCACAACCAAAAATCGAAAAACATTCTTCAGAGCTATGTTTAATCTACAAGCTCTGACTCCATTTTCAGCATTGTTCTTATGAAAGTATATTTGTGAAAGTTTTAAGAAAGAACAGGTAAGTAGTGTCCATAGTATGCCATGTTAGCAGCAGTGACCATATGTTTACAATTATACCTAAAAAAGAAAACAGATTTCTCAGTATATCCACTTCAGACATTAGACCCAGATTGAAAACTTCTGAAAAAAATGGGTCTTCTATGACAACATTCCTTAGAATTTAAATCAAACATATACCCATTTAACTGGTTTCCAGTTATGTATTTCCTAAAAGATTTATCTCTTCTAGCTCTCTAGTCTAAATAAATTACTTTTAGCCTTTACCTTATAGTGAAAGGGTTGCTTCCTTATAGCTTTGTCTAAGGAAATGTACAAGACATGCCTTCAAAATTAAAACATTGGTAAATGATGCTCATTTTCCCAAGAGGAATTTGCCAAAAGTAAATTGTGAAGGGAGAAGACTTTAAAGAATGAATTTAAGAGGTTCTCATTAGATGTGTATCTAAGACCCAAGTCTCTGAAATGCTATTTATATATAAAAGTGTAATAATAATAATATCGTACTGTATAACCCCTGGGGCTTGAGGCAGTGGAAGGAAGGAATGCATGTAGAGGTATGGACAGGAAGGCTTTCAGAGTCCAATAATGAATATAAATGTCTCTCTATTTACAGAAAGTTAATCTCAGAAACCTTTTTTGTGGCATATTTTTTTTTGCACCTAAGGTTAAACATATCACTATAATTCACTTGTTTAATATTATGTGTAATGATTAATATTACCAGTATATTACTTTTTCTGTTCATAGTTGGAATTGTTAGAATACAACAGTTGGCATATTGGAAAAGCAAGCTATTGGAAATAGCATAATTTTAGTGACATAGAACAAGCATTAATAATATTTAGTGGATCTTTCTATATCAGAAGAATGTAAATAAGCCCTTCTAACTGCTATCAAGTCCATTGGCAATTAGTCCAGAATAAATTAGCCTACAACTGGGCTACCAAGGTTAGATTGTCATGTCATTGACATGATAACCTAGATTAATTAACAAAAATACTATGCCTATTCAGTAAGTAACTAATAGAAATTTAAAAATAAATTTAATTGACAACTTCCAAATTCTGGGAGAATTTATTGGTTTTAGTTTACCAACATTACTGTAAAACAAAAAAATAGCCCCAATTTAAAGTTTTTCTTGTATTAATACTTCCTGTTCTTGTATATATATAATGTGGATTTCTGCAAGATAATAAATCATTAAAATCCATAGGTTTGCTGCATAAAATATAACATCTCTAATAGCTTGATTTCAGTGTACTTTCTTAATTTATTGTCAATTCTCTGCCAATAAAAGTGGAGAAATGAAAGCAATTGCTTCAAGTACATGACCCATCTTTCCAAGGCAGTATTTTAAAACTGTCTCTTACTAAAATAAATAAACAGTTAAGGTGTACAGAAGATGTACTGTGCTTTTTAGAATATCTACAGTCATCACTGTTAGTCTTTCAACAACCAATGATTGATACTCTTTCAAAAGTAAGATTTCTTATCTAAGGGATTTCAATTTTTTAATTGATGGCTCTTTTCAAAATCTTTATCAGTAACTTTTCAGAGGATAAAATTATGTGCCACACACTGGAAAGAGGTGTTTATTGCTTTTAGATATTGTTCTAATTTTGCTAATATTTGTTTTCATAATGTTTCTTTAATATTAAAGTATGTCAGCTTGCACCAACAGTTGATTTTGACACTGTTCTGTCCATGATGGTAAAGACTAAGAAAATCTGTGTGTTGTCATCACATTAGTTAGATACCAGATAATGCATACAGCCTAGTTCTACCGGCTTGCTTAGTTTCCTGACTTTTACCTTTTCTCATTGACAGTTATTTCATATGTACTGGAAATGTCTGAATGTTTACTAAAGACTGCCCTGAAGCCTGGGAAGCCAGGTCAAAGGTTTGCTTAGTTAGGGAACTTATAAACAGCAACTATATTGAGATATTTTTGAGGACCTGATGTCTGTATATTCATAGAAAACCTAGAGAAAGAATATGTAAAAACTTATTTTTTTGCTAAAAAGGAAAAAAAGTAAAAACTGGAAAAATGTTAAAATACAATCTGCTGACTTGTCATTTCTCTCCCTTATCTCAGAGTAGTAGAATTTTTCAGAGGACAACCACTTGATTAAAGCCCAGGAAAAATGGAGATGCATGAACACAAGAGAATACTAAAACTTCTCGTGAGATTCAGGTATACTCATATAATAAAGTTTAAAAGTTAAGAATTCAGAATTTCATACTAGCTTTTATGAAAGTGCTTTATCTATAAAGGCAAGGGCAGCAGATGTGCAAAGGTGGTGTAAGGTTCAAAAGACTAATAAAGGAAATATTTTTAAAGTATTTTAACTCCTGAAACAAAAACCCAAAAGCAGCCATCAGAGTCCTGTGTAAGAATTTAATCTAAAGTGTGTCGTTCTCAGTATGAATATTCTCAGAGACTTCTACTATAAATTTCTATTTGTTTATGTGAGTTCTATTTGAAATGCATGTCCCTTTAGTTGAACAAGGAATTCAAACAAGGAATAGCACTTTTTGTTCAAATGCTCAATGAGTGGTCTGGTTTTGGAGAAAGTGGGAATTGGTATACCATAGGTTGCTGCATCTTGAATCCTATTTCAGATGCCCAAATTCTTTCTTAGTCCCCAGGTTTTGGTTTTAGGATATCAAGTCCAGTGAAAAGATATAGTAGGAGGCCAACTGTACTTAAACCAAGCAATGGATTAAATTATTTAATGTAAGTTCTCTATCTTCCTCAATTCTGATACTACTCCTCTCCATA